TACCAAGACTTCGCTGGCCAGCGGGGTGCCACTAGGATCAAAGACAGGCTCTGTCCGTGCACCCTCTCTAGTACAAGTGGTATCATTTCCACTGGGGGAAATGCATACAGAAGTACATCGGGCCAAGGATGAGCTAGGGCGTCCACTCCCAGAGGACCACTCTGCTCTATCATGGAAAAGAACGGAGGACAGTGCATGTTTGTTTTAGAGGCAAACAGGTCTACTGTCGCTTTGCCAAACAAAACCCAAATCTGGGCCACCACAGTGGGATGCAGCCTCCACTCCTTTGCTAGAGGTCCGCTCCTGGAGCCTAGGTTCAGTCTCCCCGGAACATGAATGACTCTGATAGACAGAAAATGAACACTGCTCCACTGTAAAAGAGTGTGAGACAGGTTCAGCAGGGGAAGGGACCGAGTCCCCCCTTGTCTGTTTATATAAGAGACCACTTCTGTGTTGTCCGTTCTGATTAGAAGACGATGGTTCTCCAGAACTGGACAAAAATGTTTCAGTGCTAACAGGACTGCTAACAATTCTAGGCAGTTTATGTRGAGCCTGGACTGTTGTGGAGTCCAGGTTCCCCTCACCGCCGCGCCGTCGCACAGAGCTCCCCAACTTTTCAGGGAGGCATCTGTGGATACCACTTTGCGAAACGACACCCTCCCTATTGGAGAACCCTGATAAAGGAGGCCGGGTTCCCTCCAGGGGCTGAGAGCCGTCATGCAGGAAGCAGTTATTGTTAGCTTTTTGTGTCTGTGTCGAGACGGACACAGCCTGTGGGACTGAGACCAATGCTGAAAATGGCGCATTTTTAACAGCCCGAGTGGTACTACTGAAATCATGGAGGCCATCATTCCCAGTAACTGTAGTACAGTTTTGAAGCTCAGTTTGCGTCCCAGTTGAAACTGAGCTGAGCAGCGGTGAAACGCGGCCGCTCTGTTTTCYGAGAGGCGAGCCCTGCTTGACAAGGAGCAGATTTCTAGTCCGAGGAACGAAAACTGCTGACTTGGTGTTAATAAGACTTTCCTGGGTGTTTACTGAAAACCCTAAAGCCTGAATGTGTGACAGAACCTGAGACAGCTGATCTAGTGCTTGCTCCCTGGAGCTTGCAATCAGAGCCCAGTCGTCCACATATGCTAACAGATGGACCCCCTTTCCTTGAGGGGGGCAACGCAACCTCTATGCACTTTGAAAAGGTGCGGGGAGCTAGCGAGAAACCGACCGGTAGCACCAGGTACTCATAGGCTACACTCTCGAAGGCGAACCTGAGATATTTTCTGTGCTCCGGGTGAATCGCAATGTGAAACTAGGCGTCTGTTAAATCGATGGTGGCAAACCATTCGCCCGGGATGATCGAGTGAATTAGCTGTTTGAGCATTAACATTTTGAACCTGTATGTTTGAAGGTACCGGTTTAACACTCACAGATCCAAAATAGGTGAAGGGCGATAGAACTAAGTAATGACGCTGGTGACTGCGAACTTATAGGGTGAAGGCGGAGCCTGTCACCCRACGTTCAACGTCACCACGTCACCGGTCTAAAGACGTGATTAGAGGTGGCTTCAGCCAGGCGCGCGAGGGCGCGCGTGTCCCATATACAACTGTGTGTTGTACTGAGTGAAATGACTGAAAAGGAATCTAAGTTTTTGCAWTTTGTTATGAGTAGTCTGTTGCAAAGACACATTTTTTGTTGAAAAAAAATGACCAGAAATGTGTCTGAGAAATGGCATTTTAGCATCAACTAAAGAACCATGAAAAGGTAAAAATGTCCCAAAATCCTGCACAAAATTAAATAATGAAGTATGGTATTTGTTCCAGGTCTTGTGACAACTCATGTTTGGGAGTTTTTTCTTATTTCTTAAAGACATGACTTTATTCATTTTAGTTTTTGAGAACCAAAATTTATGTATTTTTGAGAACCACTCCATRGATTGAACTGTTGCTCGAACAATTTAAAAAAACACTTAAAAAATTTACAAAAACGTCTTTTTCCTTGGCAGCATCAAAACATTTAGAGGTCTTTCTGCACAGTAATCTACAGCGAATCTTTGCTGTTAGTATCTAACATTCACCAAACAGACGCAGGGTTCACCTGACAGCAAAAACAGAATAAAGGTATCCAAGCAGGAAGAAACAGTGTACACCAGCTGGTTTCTACAAATAACAACAACTCCATATACTATACACTCCTGATCAAAAGAAAGTTGTTGCAAATTCTTGCACTTTTTTGACTGGTCTTAAGATTTTGATCAGGAGTGTATACTGTATCAACGACGCAGACAGACATCCCATGCTGCTACACCACCAGACAAAAGGAGCACAGCAAAAGACGAGTCCCCGCAATCCTCCAAAAAATCAGTTTGACGTGTGTCTGACAAAATGGAAACATGAGCCTGTACATACAATGAAGTTTGCTGGCCCGATTGTTCGCACACAGTAAATGTAAAGACCCTGGTGAAATCTGAAGACTGGCTTCCTGTCTGACTGGCACTATTTACTTCTCAACCAGTTCCACTCTGGCAGCTTGGCACTGTTTTTGAACAAAATGTTCTTGTGGAGGAGAGGTCCGACGTTTTTACGAATCTCATGAATGAGAAGCTGAAACAGGAAAAAAGAAATGATTAGTTCAATTTCACTTTTATATTAGGTAATTTATTTAAGTTCTTAATGGGATAAAGAAATCAAAGCTGCACAGTCATTCTACTTTACACCTCAGTGCATATGATGTGTCTTATTGTTCATGGATTCTGATGTCCCATTTTTCACATCTTTGAATATGAGCCACATTAGCTGGCTGTTTTTCCTGCCTGTTTAATAATTTACAAGTCTGGCTCTTCCTCAAAAATAGGTCATTTAATACAATTACCTGTTTTACTCGCTTAATGAGTGATGTTTGGAATTTGAAGTTTCAAGTGATTCATAATAACATAATTTGCAAAAAAATAAAACAATAAATAAAATGTTACATTAAATGCAAGTAAACTGTAGCATTGTTATCACTGAATCTCTTACTTATCTATACAGACACGCTGCAGTTGGACCATAACAGGGTTGATGGTGAACAGATGTTGACTTTGCCACTTGCTGATTTCCCTGAGAGTACCCATGGGATTGGTCCACGAATCACCCTCTGGGGAAACGGCTTAGGGATGCTAGAAATGGACAGTCGCTGAYGCTCAGAGGAGTCCATCAGATTGTAGTCCACTGAATATACTGTACACAAATCCATGTGTTTACTTTTTTTGTCAAGGTTATATAAACTTATAAAGCATTTTCTTTTACATATGCTTTTTTTAAGGCTGAAGCAATAATCTCTTTCAACCTCCTCTGTCATGCTGTCCATCAAAGTCTGGAAATTCCCCTCAAACTCAGGAGGCAGACGACTTTTTATCTCGACCATCTGGTCGTGCAGAAAAGAAGCAGAACTGGGGATACTATTGATGTAGTACATATATCTCTATAAAGAGAAAAGTCAAGATCATCAGGGCCCTAAAAAGACGCTTGAGTATTAATCTCAGAAAGTGACTTCAGTTACTTGCCTCCAGGTCGCTGGGTTCGATCTGAGTAACACCCCCATCTTCACTTCCTATGTCGAGCTGCTCTGGACTCGTACTACTGGGCGTTTTTATGTTCACAGTCCTACGCTTGGCTCAACCAGAGATCGAGGCATGAACGAATGTTGTCCTGTTCAAGAATGAATTTTCAATTTGATCAGAGATTTTTTACTTTTTTAATGCATTGAGGTGAGGGTGTCGTTACCTTTTTCTTGATTGCTTGTCTCCTGCCAGGTGGAATTGGGGCTATCCAATTCATTAAGGTCAATAATCTACTCTGAAAAGTTGCTGGAGCTGCTCTAACGTTTGTACATGAGATAAAACATCAGACAAAATGTTAAATCTTAGATAGACCAACATTGAAGCATATGTTTTGTTTTTGCAAAGGAATTCTGAAAAGAACAGGTTTTGTCTCTGTCGTAGAGGTTTTAGTTGCAGGCTGTGTGCCCTGAGGCTATAGTTGTTCCCAACAGACGCACTTGGAGTTCGGTGGTTATGTTGCTCTTTGAATGGAACAGCCTGAATCCTTACGTTGGTCAGCACCACCTGGTGAAAATAACAGATGACATGCTGTGATTATACGGGCGAATCTSGATGCAATGCAAGGATTGATATCCTCACCTGATATAATGCTGAGGGTTCTGAATCACCCATTTGAGGTGTGGGGAAAATATTTACTCTGTTTTGACTCATATTAATAATGGAGTCATATTCTATGGAGGACCAAACCTATCACAATGGGAAATAAATGTAGAAATATATAAATTTGCCACATTATTATTTTATTTAGCCATGTATTTACTTTTTCAAGCCATTTATATATTTCTACATTTATTTCCCATTATGATAGGTTTGGTCCTCCATAATCTTCCCTGTGGAAGATGTTAATTAATTAATTAATTAATTAGGGTCATATAATATGACAGCTGTTATTATATATAGTAGTAATAATAGTCACCATGCCAGTGATCATAAGTTATTTTTCTGACATTAGGGGATGTAAACAATGCGTAGAATCAGTTTACGAATAAATATTTTTACTATTTACCAAGCTACAGTGAAGTCACAATATATGATAACAGCTGTCAATGTGACCCTGTAATAATTTAATAAAAGTCTATTAGTGATCAAAAGTTATTTTTCTGACACTAAAGGATGTAAACAATTAATAGAAATAGTTTTTGAATACATATTTTTTACTATTTCCTCAGCTACAGGGAAGTCACAATATATGACAACAGTCTTATTCTGTGACCATGTATAACAGTCAACAGTTTATTTATTTATTTATTTATTTATTTATTTATTTGTTTATTTGTTTGTTTGTTTTTCCGTATGTGTCTTATTTTTCTTTGTGGCCATGTTCGGCCAAGTTCTGTTGCAGAAAAGCGACAGGGGGCGGCCCCCTCTGGTCACAAAATATCACGGTCACAATATRTGATGCAACACGTGTTAACCTTTCCCTGGCGCGCCAATTACGCTCGCTGCGTGTGCACGTAAATTCTGTGTGTTTGCGTCAGGTGACTCGACAGGCAAAAAAAGTAAACAATTTCGATACCTGCCATTTAAAATAATATTTTAACAACGATTAATTATGATGCTACAAATTACTTATGAAAAAGTACACATAACGAGATGATTTAATTAAATTCTACGAGTAGATTTTATAAAAAGAAACCCTCTGAAGGGGTCAGGCAGTGCGGGGTCGCCTGGAGTTCGGGGGGCGGGGCGTGTTCGCAGGCAGGCAGGCAGAACAAAGCGGGTTTTCAGCGTGAGCGCTTAGCCTAAGTTTTGGTTTTAATCTTTTTAGATATGGTAAGTTGTTATCTGCAAAACATGACTGTAATAGTATAAGTTAATAGAATATTATATCGGTGAAGTGCTGATTTGTTKAATACTATCGAGCACGCGTTATTAGCGTGACCTTTTCTGGTCAAGAAAATGGCGCACTATTAGCAAGTATTAGCTTGTCTGATGCCACGTTTATATATTTTAAAGAGAAATTGTTGCTTAAACCACTACGGAYTACTTTTCCATTGCTATTTTATTTTATGTGTCTGTTCCTTGAGAAAGTCTGTGCTGGTAAATTTACTGGACAGAACAGTTCGGCCCCTCAATTTTTTTTAATTTCCCCCCTTCGGGAATGTTAAGCACATTGGAGGTTGAGCACCGGCTAATTACAGTTTCGACTTTTCTTACTATGGCTTTTTAAGTATTCTTAAAGTGGTAAAAAGTTGCACAAAGTTTTGTATTGTGTTTGGCATTAGATCAGACAAGATGGTTAGCCTTTCCTTAACCACTTGTTAGCCATACTGTGACATGCTAATTCAAGGGATGCTAACATTGGGTGTTTATCATGGCCAAGTTTGTTTTACAGTATATTATGTGTGTGTCGAGTTTCTRTACTTTTATAATATATTTTTTATATATTTTACTCAAGGATTACAGCAAACCCAGAAACTTCAACCAGACTGTCACTTCGTTGAAGTTATCAAATGGGTACATTCTCCCTGAAGGCAAGCTAACCCCCAATGCTCTGTTTGTGGGTGGGATCGACATAAAGGTAGGTAAATGTTACATGTGTGTTTAAAGCTAAGCCCCTGATGTGTGACATTCAATAAATTTAGATCAACTGATAAATGTAGCACCAGTTCATAACTAAAGTAAAGTTACAGCACTTCCCATAATGCAAACACCTTTAGTTTAATCACCAATTCCAAAGAGTTCTGGGGCCTCGTTTAGAAAAGTTTGTGTAGAAATTATACTCAAGTATGGCTGAAAGGCAAAAATGAAGTGTGCCAAAAAAGTAAAATAAAATCAGATTTATAAAACTTTGCACATGCTCACTTTCAAGCAAGTTCCCTTTATAGATCACAGTTGCACCTCAGAGTTTGTGCACAAGATCCCCCTTAGGTTCTGCCCTCTACATGCCCACATTCAATTATAAACAGTCAATGGAAAGTAATGAATGTTGAGGTGTATTTAAATGAGTCAGCTGGTCAATGTCAACAAAAGTGATTGGCCGGCTCAGGCACACACTCCGTTGTGCGTCAGGAGTACGACGGGAGCTGAGGACTGCTCACAGCAAGAGATTGTCTGTAGTTTACACAGATTTTCCCTCATTTTGCAGGAATACAGACGTTGGAGCAATCTCTCAAATTATTTTTTAAAACTTAGCTTGTATTTTTTTTCTCTCAGTAGGACGTTAAAAAAAACAGCGTTATCCTGATCTCTTGAGCTAAATGAAAAATATTTTTGATCCATTTTTGTACAGCTTTAACAAAAATTTAAAATGCATTTTAATCAACTGAAATCTACAATTTATTTGAGTAAAAATTGATGTAGATTTATTTGCTTTTGTTTTTTTAATCAAAATTGCTTTTGACCCTCAGGTTGATGAARCTGAAATGCGGGACTTCTTTGCCAGATATGGTGCTGTAAAGGAGGTGAAAATCATCACATATCGTGGAGGGATCTGCAAAGGGTGAGCTGTAGTGTCTGTTTTACACAGCTGGATATTTGTAACTGCATTACATTTTATATACAACCAGCTCTGTGTATTTATTATGATCTTTCTGGTTTCCTCATTTTGAGGTCAGAAAAAAAGTTGTCACTTGTGTGAATAGTTTACGTGATGCAAAAATAACATTTTAAACCAGTGTTTTGATGGGTTTTTCTCTATTTTTTTTCTACATGCAGCTTAGTTTGTATTGGTGTATTGTTCTTTTAAATCAGTGTGTTGCTGTACTCTTGGGTTATTTTCTGTTTTCTTGTCCTAGTTATGGTTTTGTGTACTTCAGTGAAGATGTCAACATTCAGTCAATCATTGAGGTGAGTAGACATCTGTGTTTTTGACAGTTAAAATAAAACGACTGAATGTTTTTTTAAATCAATTTTCCTACAACAAAACAGCAACAGATCAGTTTTAAAGGCCGCAAGCTGAAGCTGGGACCTGCAATCATGAAAGAAAGGAACTCACGTATGTATTTGTGTATGATTTAGCCTCAGATTATCCTCTTATTTAGACAGAAACTTTAATTTACTCTGAATGTCTTTGTTCCCAACCAGGTTCCATGCCCTCGCGGCTAGTTGGACCAGCTCCTTGGATGAGTCCCACCCAGTACATCTACTGCACCTGCTGCTCACCCTTGGCCGGAGGGGTGACACAATCCTCACCCATCCTCAGTGGAGGCAGCCCCTATAATCAGGTACCTCACTCTCTCATAGACAAGCAAACATTATCTCTGCCTAGGTTTGTAGGTACATCCCACCATGACTTCAGTAGTTAATCAGTGGTGGCTTAATTCTGTGATTTAAAAAAAAAAAGAAATCGCTCAATTATATCATTGATGATAAAGTCCATAACTGTATTTTTAGTCCTGTGTGKTTCTGCTTGCAGCCATACTCCTACACCAACTTTGGAGGGGTCGTATTTCCACAGATGCCAGTGAACTATACACAGGGTCCGTATGGYTATCAGGTATGTACATGAGCACGGACATTCAGCAGAGATGGTCRRTTACCTGCATAAAGACTTTTTTTAGTTGGGTTTAACTATCTCTTCCTGCTCAACAATTTATACTCCACACTCTTATTGTCGAACCTTCATAGCTGTCCCTTCTTGCTCCCAAACATGCAGTACACCCCAAGTCCTTGGACTCCAGATCAAAGAGTACGACCTGTCAATCAGGTGATTGTCTGCTTAATGGGAATAGGAGTACAAAGAAGTAAAGATGTCCTTAAAAAATAAACTTAACTAAAACAAACAAACAAAAAAAACAGCTTTTTAAATTTATTTTTGGATGTAATATCCATACACACCACTAGATGGTGYTGTTGGGTGTAATATAGGATTCTGATTCAACACTGAAATAAAATGTGCTGCAACTGCACAAAGTTAATTTTGTCTATTTGACAATTTATGGCACATGCTGAGCTTTATATATAATTCCCTCTGACAGCAGGCAGTGTTTTTGAAGGAACATGCGTGACTTTTTTTCTCATCAGGCTTGTTTTCTGATGTTTCCAGAACTTTGTCGACTGTGGAGTCCAGACTATGCTGACTGTGCTGTAGTTCTCTGCTACTGAGCCCTCCTGCCAGGTAAAAGACCACTTCAAGATGCTGGCACACCAAGCTGTTGGTATGAATGGGCAACTGTGTGTTTTTGGAGAAACAGGAGTTAGAAAGACCTGCATACTTACTGCTCAGGAGGAGGTTAATCCATGCAACTCCTTCGTGTGACTTTAGTTTGTTTGGGCCCAGAATAAGTCTACTTTATTGTTGCAAATGGCTTTTCCTTAGAAAAGCTGTTTCTAAATTGGCCTGTAATGAATAACTGAGTGCATAAACATTACATTACAGTTATGCATTTAAAAAAAAAGGGATTATTGTCTCTTAACAGTATCTCCTCTCCCGTAGATGAGGGCTGCAGTAGCTTCAACAAGTCAGAACACAGAYGATGCCACCCTGATGATCTGGATGGATGGAAACATCCCACCTTTTCCAAACAGTTCCAGAAAGCCCTTGTCCCCTTTATCTCCCCCTCTGCCTCAGTTTTTGAGTCATTTTAACATCGGACTACATGAGTTGATCCCAACCACTTTACTCCACGGATGAGGCTGATTTGTGGTCAGCTGCTTTTAACTTACACGGATCACAGTGACTATTAGAGCACCTTGATTATACCAGACAACGCATGGGATCACTTTTTGTTTTTTTTTCTTAGTAGTCCTTTAGGCTTATTTTGTGCTTATTTATTTTATGTTTATTTTTGCTGTTATTTTGTGTGTGTTTGGTTGTGCCTTTTATCCATTAAAAGGGCTCTCTGTACATAGGAAGTACATTTAAATATGTATGCTGCAAAGATGACTGCAATTTGGTTGTTTTTGTTTATTTTTTGCACTGAAGTGTTGTGTTTTACTTTAGGTCTGATGCTCCTCTGATTAGGATCTGTATTAATTGTCCTACCACAGCATTTATGACACCTTTCATTCATTTTCAGCACTCAGTTACTTTGTGTTTATTTCACGAGTGTCACGGCAGTAAATGAAAGGCATCTTTATTTCAGCACCTCGTTAATATTAGTATTTTATTTTTTCCATCATCTGATTTCAGGAGTTCACAGTCAAAGAGAATCACTGCATCCTTTTACTATTTTTCATTATTCGACTAATATTTGGAAGATAAAAGATGGAAAATGAAGGTTTTGTTTCAAACTGAGGTGCTTTGTTCACAGGTTGTCGTTCACTAAATATTTCACTGGTTTGGATTTTAGAAGCTTTTACACAAGGATTTTAAGAACATTTCATGAATGGGTGCACTTGATGTGTTTTATATTTAATTTTAACACTGGCTTGGCGTGATGGAGACTACACACCAGCATACGTCACTTTTTTTTTGTTTCCTTTTTGAACCTGCTTGAATTCAGTCTTTTATAAAACTCAGCCTTGAGGAATCGGGCATGAGTGTGTTGAAATGTTCTGTTCAGAGAGCCTGCAAAACCCACTGTTCTGCATGTTTTGTGTTGTTTGAGAAGTTTTCTTCAGTAATAAAAATTGAATTCATCTTTGTACCACTCATTTTCCTGTTTTCTTTTTTATGTATTTTTCTTGTTTGTGTGTGAAATCACTTTTACTTGACTATTGTGCGCAGTTGTATGACGTTAAAGTTGTTTTCTGTTAAGGTGTTTTTACTTACTGGTAGTTTTTTTTCCTTTGACTACTACTGGTAGTTTTTTTTCCTTTGACTACTTTATATACCTCTGTTTATCGGCCCTGATTTCCTTTATTTTAGGGAGAGCCAATGAGAAGCCGATCTTTGTTTCAAGGGTTTTCAATGAAATAAGATTGGAACGTTGAAGGTGACCTTATAACATCTGAATGTCAAGTTTATTTATATATACATATATATATATA